TGTGTCACATAATTTATTGTAATAGAATTGTACAGATGTAAGAAACCCGTATGTTAACATTGCACAGAAAGATACTGTATAGCCCAGAATAAAGCAGATGCTCTTGCATCCTGCATGACTGTAGGACTGCTGTTTTAGTGACCAGTCATAATGTGTAGATATAATTTTTGAATTTGATTCTTATTCCAGTTCAGATGTAAAAATAAATTAAACTCTTTGTGGCAAGGACAGTTTGTAAAATGTTTGGTATATTAGGGTCCTGACCTGACTGAGACCTCTGGAAATTACTGTCAGTAGTGCCTCAATATGAGGATGACAGTGTCCCGGTGAACAGGGAAGTCATTGGTGAACTGAAAAATTTGCTATAGTAAAAAGATCACACCCCTCTTGTCACCCCTAAGCAAATGAGCTGTTCTGCCAAACCCCTAGGACTATTCATGTGGTCTAGTGTTTGCAGGATTGAGACCAAGGTTTGTAAAAAGTTACAAATAACACACACATTTATGCTAAAGAGAAAGGCTGCCTATGCTCCCTTTATTTTTTCCTGACTAGGTATAGACATTTGGCATTGTGACTGATTTGTTCCTGGCTCAGGTTTTTGTAAGTTAAGATGAGAAGTTAGGAGGGTCAGAGTCAGAAAGTAGTTGTATTTTGTATAAAATAAGAATTGGCCATATCTTTCTGCCTGCCTCATGAGATTTCCAAATCTATTTTACAGTCCAAAGGAGGATGTAAGTAACTTTCTGAACTTCTGAGTGATTCTGCTGCTGAGCATTTAGAGATTCAGTTAACATTACTGAACTCTCTTTCAGTGCATCCTTTCTTTATAATTACCTTTATACACACACTAGTGAATTGCCCGTCAAGAATGATGGTGGGGAGGAGCGGGCAGGGACGGAGTGCCGCCACCCACTACCCCGCGCTGCTGCTGCCTTCCAGGGGCAGGGGAGAAGCTTGCCCTGCCGTCTCCTCCATCCCCCTCCACCAGCACCTCGTGTTGCTGCTGCCTCCAAGAAACGGGGGGGGGAGGGGCCTGCCCCCCCTGCTCTGTCCCTGTGTCATGGCAGCACTCCACCATCTTACTTCGTCCCTGCCCTGGTGGCCTCACCCCCGCTCTGTCTCCTCTGTCCCTGCCATCATGGCGGCACTCTGCCATCCTACTCCGTCTCTGCCCTGTTGGCCTTGCCTCTCTCCCCTGCCCCCCCACTCCATCCCCTCTGTTCCCGTTGTCATGGCAGCGCTCTGCTGTCCCAATCCATCCCTGTCCTGCTGGCCTCGCCCCCCTGCTCTGTCCCCACCGTCATGGCTATGCAGTGCCGTCCCACTCAGTCCCTGCCATCCCTCCGCCCACCTCTGCCTCCACCCTGTGCTGCCGCTGCCTCCAAGTTTGAGAGTTCCAAGAGTTACACCCTGCCCCCAGCAGGCTCCACATCCGGCCCCATGACACCCCCACCCCTAAAATAGAGTCTGTTTTAATTAAGTCCACTTACTGCTTTGTCAATAAACAACAGGTGCCTCTTGTTACTAGCTTCTTTGAAACAGCTGTGCCTACTTTGGCCTCTGCAAGATTTGTTTAGCTTGGTATAGCTACTTACTCTGTGTTTAGGAAAAAGTGGAGACCAAGTTATTTTATATGGAATAAACTATTTCTGTATGGTTTCCAAAGTGTGCTTTATTAGATTCTGTGAGCAAGCTGATTTTCCGTTATGGGGAGAGTGAGATGATGTCCTATATGACATATTGAAAAATTATCCGTATATTTTAAGGGAACTATACATTTGTAAAGTTGGGGTCATGTTAATATATGAGAAGCAAAGAAAATCCAAGAGGCCAAACTTGGTCAGAGGTAGGCAGGATTTGAATTACGGGGGAGCCTGGAGGGGCTAAACCCCCCCATAAGAGATGAGAGCACCTCCATAAGTGATGAGACCCCCCCCACCCTCTGGCAGCCAGGCAGAAACTGCTGCTTAGCGCTGGGGAAAAGCAACCCTTCCTCCTCATTGCTGCCTGGACCCCATGCCTGGGCTGCCCTGTGGCTTCTTTCTGCTGCTGCCTCGAACCCTTCCAAGGGTCAAAGTGTAATTTGAACCCTGGAAGTAGGAGCTTGGAGCTCGAATAAAATGAGCTTCAGACTTGAAGACATCTCATCCCACCAAAGACCAAATTCTATTCATTTGTGATTGCATTGGCTACTGACTTATCAAAACAGTTAGAAATTGAGGCAGATAGTATAGAGGTGGCACCGGGTCACAGGGATCGGATCTAATTCTGAACACTGTGCAGGAAGCTGCTTACCCACAAAAGAGAAATAGAGTACCTCTGGCCTGGAGGGAGTTAGTTTGGGTTTTTTGAGGCACAGTTTAAGTCTGGAAAAATAATTAGGTTACTCAACATGGCCACAGAGGACTTCTTAAAAAGTGCTGGGTTGGCCTGCTTTTGAGATTGTGCAGGGACATCTGATGGAGTTGATAACTAAGACAAAGAATAGCAGGATTGATCTGAATCTGCTGGGCTTATTTTCAATAGTGCTGCTCTCTTTGAATTTGGCATATTGATTATACACTGCAGAGAAACAACTGAAGATTAAGGTCTGCAGAAGTTGTCAGAGGAAAGATATTGCTAGGTTTTTAAAGCATTGTTTAGATAGCACCAGGAGCTTATTGCATATCTTGTTCTGCTTCATTTTGCAAACCTGAAAATTAGTAAAAATATATTAAATGGTTTTAAAAATTTGGACACAATAGAATTTTTTGGATGAGTCTCATGATCAGCTCCAGAAAAGTTAATGTAACTCTTTCCATTGACTTCTAATGATTTGGATTGAAACCTGGGCTTTGATTGGTAGAATCTTGACCCGTTATATATATTGTTCAAAGAACTAGTTAATTGCACAATACATTTAGATGTGCTACACATGCAAATTAATTATCACACAATAAAAATGGCCAAGAAACCATAACAATGGCTAACAAGCTGTAAATTTGTTACTTGAAAAATGTAGAACATTTTTATAGTTGATTTCTACCAAATTTTTATTTAAATGTTATGGTATGTCACATGATTTCTTGTCTATGGTTCAGAGACTCTCTATAACTTTCTTGTGGCATATTTATGTTTTTTAGTATACCCAATGGAGTAGTAAAGAAGGACAAACCAGAAAAAATACTTTTTTGGAAAACTGTCCTTATCTTAATTGGCTAGAAGAGTTCATGTTGAGTAATTCAAGGCATTTATTTCCTCTCTCTTGCTCACTCTCATCCTCAGATTCTGGACTTGCTTACATTGCAACATTCCCAGTAATTATTTCTATATTAAAAAGAAAGATAAAGGTCTTCAGAGTTATCAGGGAAAAGATACGGGCAGCTTTTTAGGTAATTGTTTGAATAGCATCAGGAGTGTAGCAGGGTGGTCCGGCCCATTTAGTGGTGCAGCCAGTCCTGGAGTAAGAACCCAGTTGTGAATGGTAATTGGGCAGCTGGAAGCCGAAGAGGAGAGAACAAGGAGTTAGAGCTGGACAAGGAGTAGTTTGTGGCTAGCAGGCAGACTCTACCCAGAGAAGTTTGCTTCTAGGAAGAGCTAGAGCTAAAGGGCCCTCCTGCTGCCTGGAGAAAGGCCAGGGGTTTTGTTTTGTTTGTTGTTTGGACAAGGATCTTTGTTTTATGGACTGTTGTTTGAGTGGGCTGAGGGGCTCCTTTGAAGGACAAAGCCCACCAGTGCAGAACCAGGCATGCCAACCTGTTTAAATGACTATAAAAGATGAGATTGGTTCTAGTAAGGAAAATAGGTTTTCCCACATAGCACCAACCGCTGGGGCACTTGCTCTTCTGGTATTTTAGTACATTCAATTTCATAACAATATAAGACATCCAATGAGTATGTTTCTAGGGAATTATTGCATATCTCAGGTGGTTAAGATCTCTGTCTTCGGATTCATACCTTATGAAAGGCACCTGGGGCATTTTATAAGCTCTGTAAAATGCACTTATTTATCTCATAATTAATAGAATCTTTCAATTAGTTATTTATTTTGGAAGCATCCTTGCTCAAGCCACCCCTGCAACAAACATACAAAGATTAGTTTCCTTAGACTTGGCTTAGCAAAATAGCTCTGGTTTTGAATGTGCAGGGTTTTTTGTTGGTTTTTTTAAGACAGATAAAAGGTCAGAACTTTTCCAGTGATAATTTAGCAATGTAAAAATAAATAGAGATGTGAGGTTCTAGAAAAAGTGAATTTTAGAAATGCATATTCATTAAATGAAAGACGGCTTCTCTCATGGTGACAGTAAAAAAGATAGTTTGTGAATTCCTTTCCTTTCTAAATATGTCAATTGTTTCATTTGTCTGTAGAATATTTTTCTTTTTGTTGTTTAAAAAATCATACTTACTGTTAATATTACCACTTACCTGATCACTGAATTTTTCCAGTGTAACTTACTATTCTTCTTCTTTTCATTTACAGGATACTGGGGTTGGGAAATCTAGTATAGTTTGTCGATTTGTCCAGGACCATTTTGATCACAATATTAGCCCTACTATTGGGTAAGTACCTCTGTTGACCTCTTGTTATTGTTGTTGGGGGGTTTTTATCCTTGAAGGTTTTTATTTCTACCCCATCATCATATTATCTGCATCTCAAGTCCCATCTTTTTCCAAGTTTCAAGGCTTTTCATTTCTCCAGGTCCCTTATGGCTTCTCTCACTTCCTCTAATGCCCATTCATGCTCTCCATACTCTACTTAACCTTCTCTGTTTTCTTTCATTGATGCTTTGCTTATGTTACCCCTTATACTTTAGAGTGCCCTCCCAATTAACATTCACCAAGCATCTTTTCTGTTCAGAAGTTCGTGAACCATCATGTTCCATGAAGCTGTTTCTCTCAGCTCTATTTTGTCTTCCACTGTGCAGACTCATGTCCTTAGACTTGAAGTTCATCAAGGTCAGTAGCAATGTGTAGAGTGCCGGTGCACCCCCTGATGGCCGCATTCGCCACTTAGGCGATGGGTGGGGGGGCAGGGAGGAACGCTGGTGCCCTCTCAGCAAGTGCCAGCTGATCACTGCACTTGCTGCAGCTGCTTTTGGGAGTGGCTGTGGCTGCTTCTGGGAGTGACTGCAGTGATTGGTCGGTGCTTGCTCCCAGAAGCGGCCGCAGTCACTCCCGGAAGCAGCTGCAGCGAGCGTAGTGATCGGCTGTTGTGAGAATGCCTGGGGGACCCCCCCTCCCCCCAGACTGGTCACAGGGGGTCACATGCCCCGCCCCTGACTAAAGCAGCACCAGTCACCCGTTATTAAGGTTGTGTACGTGTGCATCTGTTTGACTTGCTTTAACCTTTGTAAAGCTCTGTGTACCTGAATGGCATTATATGAACATTGTAGAGCAGCATTTCTTAACCTATCTGGCAGGTAGGGGTTCACACTCCCCAAAACTATGACAGGGGCTGCTGCCTCCATCAAGGGCCCTGCCCCCTTGCCACTGCAGCAGCTGCATGGGAGTGCAGCCAGTTGCCAGCTGGCAGGGCTCCTTAGGCGGGGTCAGGAGCAAGGGTTATTCCCCCTCCTAGCATCCGGCAGAGGGGACAGAAGGGGACTTTCTGCTGCTTGCCTCATGCAGGGAGCAAGCAGCAGTGGTGGCAGTCGGGGCGGGCAGACCAGGCTGCGTTCCCCTGGGGGCAGCAGGGGTAGAGAGGGGAATAACCCCCCTCCCTGCCCCCTTTGCCTCAGGGGCCATGCGGACCTGCTGCTGCAGCAGTGAGTGGGAAGTGCCTGGCAGATCCAGCTTGGGTCCCTGGGCCAGTTGGGCAGCAAGGGGGAATTAAACCTCTCTCTGGCCAGTTCAGCCCAGGCTGGCCCTGTCTCCCCCAGCACAGCTTCCCTGCAGCCAAGGGCGCGCTCTAGTGCCTCAGTCCAGAGGGAATGTCTGTACTGCTACAAACTGGTTCAACCTAGGCAGGTTGGAATAACCTGCAAAGATTTAATCAATTCAGGCTCTGAATTTAGGAATTCAGGAACGTCAGTCCCTAGCCCAAAACTCAGTCTGAACTTTAGAAATTAAAACCTCATGATATAATGGTCAACAAAACACATAAAACAAAGTAATGGTAGCAAGCATTTTACCACCCAAGGATTGCTAAATGTTCTAAGGCAGTGGTTTTCAAACTTGGTTAGCCACTTAATCCCTTTACTTGCAAAATATTGCTGCTTGTACCCACTACATACCACATGTCTGCTTTTACATTCCTTAGAAACAGTGTCAACACTAATACCAGCACCCAGCAACACCATTACTCACCGTGCATTGACCAATTAAAAGCTCCACTGCCATTATAAACATGTAGGCACATACCCCTTGGCAGTGTTGTGTACTTTGGTTTTAAAATCACTTTGTAAGGTGTAAGTACTGTCAGGCAAGGTGGGAGTGCTAAAAGACCCTGCTTCCACATGCAGGAAAGCTTTCATTTAGGTTTATTATGTGTGTGAGCATTTAACACTGGATAATACAGCCTAAGTAGACAAAGTGAAATTCATCTATATCTGTTCTTCACAGAAACTGCCAAGCATTGAAACCTGCAAGTAGCATAGGCCTCTTCCCTTTAGTTATTTTTAAAATTTCTTCTTTTTCACATTCAGGGCCAAATCTCCTGCCTTGGTTCAGTTGGGAAACATGAACATTCTTGACTTCCTTGGACAGAGGAACTAATGCATGCCATCCATTAAGAGATCATCTGGCTGGGATGGGTGTTCTTTTGATTTTAGATCTATTTGGAAATGCCTTATAAAGAATTATCTTTGGGTGTGGTGTTAGAGTGGCTAAAAGCTTTCCACTGTAATACCTCAACCTTTGCTTTTGGAAGCCTAGTGAAATCCCAGGTGGGGGTTTTATGATCAGATTCCAAGGCAGTTTTGGACCATTGAATTTGATGATGGAAGAAGCTGGGCAGAGAGAAGGGAAGCAAGAAAGCATGTTGCCAGTAGCATTATTGATTGGGAAGACATTTTTTTGTATAAAAAAATAATGGGAACCTGATAGCTCCTTCAGTTCTAAACCACGAGCAGCCTTTTACACTATGTAATGACATTGGTAAATCAGTTTCTTTGACCCACATAAAAAAAATTGCCTTGCATGGTGTGGGGGAGTGTTTGAGAAGAAAAAGAAACCTGGAGTATTGGATTAATTACTGCTAATAACTTTGTTTCTTCTCTAAGTGGGATAGCAATGTAGGTAAGATTATTTGCCATTTGAACCAATATTTTAAATATACACTCCTACCCTACTGTAATTCCTGATGTTCTGAAATGTGAAGTGTTGCATAATACAGAGGGCAGAAGGATGGGAATGGGAAGTACACACCCTCAGAACAGCCAAAGAAAGCATTGCTTTGCCTGTGTTACTTCAGCTTTTTAGATTCAATTCAGTGCTGTTCAAATTGCGTCTATTTGCAGATGTCTATAAAGGGAACCCCTAGTGTATCCTCCCCAGAAAATATTTTGATAATGCATGTCACTGGAAGTAATCTGGAGTATTTCTAATGCAAAACACATTCCAATTGATGAATCTTTGAGCCAGGGATAAAAATTATCTGGAGCAGCAGAGTCCAAAAAAAAGAAATTCAACTAGAAGCTAGACTCCTCTGGGTTTTCTTCAGTTCTAGCACTGCAGTGCAGAACAAACAAGCAAACATATACAATAGAAATATCTACATGCTTTCTTAAAGAGACGTAAGTTTGGAAGAGGTGTAAGTTGTAGCCGTGTTGTTCTAAGGACATAGGCAGACAAGGTTCTTTGAGTAAATCATGTAAAGAACCTTGTCTAACTTTTACACTGAAAAAAATGCTATGTATTTTATAAGTAACAATATTTATTTTGTATGAAATTAGCGAGGGAAAGAAAACTTTTCATTGTATTCATGTTGTATGTTCTGTCAGCAATTTTTTTGTCTCATGGTTTTGTGGAAAGCTATTTACCCATCCTATCTCATATATTAGCATGATGAAATGACTCATTCATTGCTTGGTGTTGTGAGAATATTTGCAATCAGCTTCATTCCTTGCAGGAAGGCATTCCTTAGGAACAGCTGCAACAAAACAAATGGAGCAGACAGCTGGCCAGTAGGCAAGCATTTGTTCAGGGAAGAGAAGGAGTATGGGACCTAGGCCTTTGCTTCTGGGCCTCTCCAGAAAGATCCTTTTAACCTCACCAGAGGAACAGAAAATGCTTAATATTTTAAATGTTTTTAATCCAGGGTTGCTTATGGGAGCATTTTCTCTCAGGAAATGGATTTTTTGGCTCTAAATTGCGTAACTCGGGAGATCTCCCCAAAACTTAAAGTTAACATACTTGGACTATTAGTCCAAATAGATTTTGTGTGTTAATCTCATTGGTGGTTCACACCTGAGTAATGTCCAGGTCTCATTTCTTTCTTTCAGTGCATCCTTCATGACTAAAACTGTGCCTTGTGGGAATGAGCTTCACAAATTTCTCATCTGGGATACAGCTGGTCAGGAGCGAGTGAGTATTACTATGTGATATTTTTTTATTGTATTTATAATGTTTGGAACTCCTTTCACTTCTAGAGGACTTGGCAGGCATGTTTAATTAATTCTCATGACACCCTCTTGTTCTTACTTTAGCAAAGCAACAATAACTAAGTCTTACTGGGTTCATCAGTAACTGGTGATCTGTCTCCGTTTTACGGATGGAAAGACAGTGGTAGCTCAGAGTCTACTGCATTGAATTGAAACGTCTCATCATCCCTGCAGAGTCCCACAGAGCCCTGGTTCTGCCAGCATAACCCAGGGGCTGACTCTGATCCCTTATACTAGACAGTTGCACATTTGGTTGCTTCTGAAAGCCATGCATGTTTATATATGCCCCAATGACTTTGTATCCTTCCATTCCCCTCCTCTCACAGCTCCTTAGTTGCCTTCTTCTTTTTATTCATTTCAGAGAATCCCTGCCAAGGGATTGGTGTGACTCACAGTCCCTTCTCTGCCCTATGTCAGGCACTCTGTATCCCTCATGCCCTTCTTTCTTATGCCAGGTATTATATGTGTTCCCCAATTCTCCTTTCCTGAAGTCCGAGTCCCCCATTTTCCTCTTATGGCAGGGGACCTTCATGTGGCTTCCATGTCCTACAAATATTTATTTTCCCCTTGCTTGGAGTTCTGTGGACCCTCGCATTCCCCCTAATTCTGTCCATGTTCTCATTCTGCTTATTTCCTTTCTTTCTCCTATGCGTATCCCCAGAATTAAGGAGACCATTGTCTGTAGCAGAAATTAGGAAATATGCAACAAATGAGGTATCAGTTTCAGGAAAAGGAAAGGTTCATTTTATAGCTAAGAGTTACTTGCTGCCCCAGAGAATTGTTTTTCTATCCCTGGAGGATCATCAAGTCCAGCCCCCTGCCCAGGGGCAGGAAGTCAACAGGGATCAGAGGATCCCAGCAAGATAAACATCCAAAAGTGTCTTGAAGGCGTTCGAAGTGGGTGCTTGAACCACCTCTGGCGGCAGTCTATTCCAAACCTTGGGGGCTCGAACAGTAAAGAAACGGTCGCAGAGGAGTTTGTGACTGTTCGACCTTGTCATCCCTTGGGGCGCTCTGGTGAACAGATGTTCCCCCAGATACTGGTGAACACCCCTAATAAACTTACAGGTGGCCACCAGATCGCCTCTGAGCCTGCGCTTTTCCAGGCTGAAGAGTCCCATGGCTCTCAGCCTCTCATCATAAGGTCTGTTTTCCTGCCCTCTGATCATACGTGTGGCTCTCCTCTGCACTCTCTCAAGCTTCTCCACATCCTTTTTGAATTGTGGAGCCCTAAACTGGATGCAGTACTCCAGCGGCAGCCTCACCAAGGCCAAGTACCACAGGAGAGTGACGTCCTATGCGAATGTCTATGAATCCCTGTCTCTGCTGCAGAATTTGTGTGTAATGCTAGTCAAGTTACTTAAACCAGCCTTGTTACAGTAGGCCACAAATTACACATTGCTTATATTCTTTATGTTCCGAACATTGAGCTTGAGAGGCTGGGATCTTATCTCCAGAATACTGAGCACTCACAGCTGCAGATGCAGTCAGTAGGAGCATTGCTTTGAACATATAAAGAGGTATATCATTGTGTCCTTTGAAAGACTGGATCCCAAGTGTCCCAAATTTGGCACCAAAATTTATGTACACTTTAACTCAATTTTTCTATGCCACAATTTTCTGTTTGTTAGGTGGGAGTAACAATACATCTTACCTTACAGAAGTGTTGTAAAAAATCATTACTATTTGTGAAGCAGTCACATATTAGGAAGATATCCCAAGACATCTTCCAGAAGCTCTGTAAGACCTTCCTAATTGAGCGGTGATGCTGTTTAGGGAGCTTATGTTTCCTATTTTTTTACTTGCTTTTGTGTGTTGTTCTGTCTCTTACTATAAGCTGTCATAAGCCTTTGTTGAGCCTTTACATCAAATAAATAAAATTATAGTAATGATCAGAAATGATGGAGATGAGCAGAAAAAAAACCCATGCAGAAATTAGTAGTTATGTATTCAGAACAAGGTTTAAGATGAATGTGCGTGGGATCAAACATTACATTATGAGGATAAAATATTCAGTTGCTGCTCATCCACTGATCACTGTACATCCTGTGCACTGAATGAGGAATGGGGTCTATGGGGAAAAAATAGTATATAGTCATGTAATTAAGAACGGTATCAAAATGAATAGGCAAAAGAGGGCTGAATTAATTGACCGGAGAAAACCTTGGTACTTATATTCCCTATGTGGTGAGTGCTTGTCTGTTGTAGCCTTATCATTATTTTAAGTAAAACTTTTAGGGTTTGGTTTTGGGTTTTTTTGCAGATCACCTACATTTAGGCCAGCTCTTTTAGAACAGGACTCTTATTCTGGCTGCTTATACTTCTGGATACACAACTTGAGACACCTGATATTCACTTAAATTACTCAAAATTGCTAGTCTTTTTAAAAGTTTTCCACCTCACTTTAAGTAAGCCAGGAACTTATGTCTATAAATCAAATATTTAGCACATTCTAAATGGCAATAATAATCACCTGTGGGCTGACTGTAAAGTGTATATTATGGTATATCCAGAAATTATCTTGATGGGTTTGAAAAGGATGGAAGAACACGCACACGTTTCAAAATATCTTAGAACTTCCTTGGTAAAATTAGAGCTATGGCAAAAAACCATTAAAAAAAAGTGACGATGGGTGATCATCACGAACAAGTAAGATTGTCTTCAAAGCATCTTAATAGTGAGTCCACAGGTGGCTCCATAACCCAATTCTAGATCCACATGTCTTGTCGCATTGAGGACGAGTGTTTCCAGGAGGGATGGGCACTGTGTTGCTGCATTGGATGTTCTGATGTTTTTTTCACCTGTTTTTCTTAAACTCTTCTGCCTGTTGACGAGCTGTTTTAAAGTGTTATGGTCCCTCCCAAAGAGTCTGCCTCCATTTTGGTCGGTCCTGAGCACGGGCCTCCCAAGTGTTGATATCGATGTTACACCACTTCATGTTTGGCTTCAGGGTGCCTTTGAAACACTTTCTTTGCCCTCTGCTACTCTGCTTATTAGGGTGTTAAAAGTTAAAAATAAGGGTGTGTCGCAGTGCACTCAGGTGCCCTGCGCCTGAGAGCGGAGACTACTCTGGGGAGACCCCTAGTGGCAGAAAGGGGGAGGCTCAGCTGCCAGTCACCAGGGCTGCACAGGTGCTGGTTGCCAGGGCAACTGGTAAAACCAGCTGACAGGAAGGGGCAGGGCTTATCCCTTCTTAAGCCCAGGTAGGAGGCCAGGAGGGCAGTCCCTCTCCAGCAGCTGTGGGAGTAGGGACTCAGCTTGGACAGACAGAGGGGAGGACT